TCTTCAGGTTCTGGTCTCTTCTTAATCACAGCTGATTCTTCAGCCCCAGCCGACCAGAACCCACAGATTCTTAATCCAAAATCTCACACGAACAGCCCTGATAGTCTCCGCTTCCCTTTGAAGCTTCATAAGCCAGGCCTCCATTGTCGAAAACTCACTCTGTGTCAAGCCGGTGGGTCACAGCACTTTGTTGTGGGCAGAGGTTACTAGTGTCAGCACTGATCTTGATGCTGATTTCACTGAAATGATTTCATGGTTTTCTTTACAACAGTGCAGAAGCAATGCCCATTCTCTAGATGCTTCCTCTGCATTTTGCGCTTTCCCCAGACTGGCAACACGTAGTGGGGGGGTTCTTGCATGACTGAGCCATAGTAGCCACTACTGTTGTCTGCCCTGTGACCACAGAGGCAGCAACTGACCCTCTACAATACAGTGTTCCATGAATGACAAGAACCGCTCGACACGTTAATATAAATCAGACTTTGGACTGCAAAGACAGCTCGGTCTGGAAAGTGCCTGCCACACATTCATGAGGACCTGAGTTGGGATCCCCAGTACCATGTAGAATCCAGGCATGGTGGTGCACACCTGTAACTCTGGTACTGTGAGAGCAGAGACAGGAGGACTCTGAGGCTTGATGGACAGGCAGTCTAGCAGAATCAGTGAGTGTTGGGCTCAGTGAGAGACCCTGTCTCAAAAAAAAAAAAGAGATGGGGGCTGGAGGGATGGCTCAGCAGTTAAGAGCACTGGCTGCTCTTCCAGAGGACTAAGGTTTGGTTCCCAACACCCACATGGCAGCTAACAACCATCTGTAACTCCAGTTCCAGGGGATCGGATGCCCTCTTCTGGCCTCTGTGGGCATTGGATGACATGGGTGCCCTTACATACATGTAGGCAAAGTACACACATAAAGATAATCCGGAAAGTTCAAGGGCATCATTTAGTAACTTTCATGACTATTTTCCTTTAACTGTCACTTCAATTTATATCTCAGAGCAGGGCCAGCTCATGCAGAATGCAGAACACATGTGCCATTGCTGCCCACTCTGCACTTGCGGCAGGCATGACTAATGGATCACAGAATCCTTGATCTGGTCCTCAGGCCACTGAACCACTCAGCAAGATGGACTCCTAGCTTCATCATGAAGTCCTTCTGGAGCACACCAGCTACACACATATGTGCACGCACACACACATGCTTACACACAAACACACACACACACACACGGGCAGAAGGTGGCCACATGCTGTGTCTATGATTTAGAGAAGAATGCAGCATTGGCTGCATGTTAAAGGGAACCCTGTCCTGTTTGATTCCCCCCCCAACTTAGAGCCTAGGACAGTGCCCAGTACACAGAAGGTGCTTAATTAATGTCTGTGCGTTGCAAAGCTGTCTTTGGTCCTCATAACACCACAACAGCCATTCACTTCTTGCTGCCTCTTTGGGTCTGGCTCCCTTTCCTCTCTCTGTCCCTGGAGCATTGGGGAGTGGGGAGGGGACAGCATTCCCATTAAACACTTGAGGAATCAGGGGCTGGAGAAATTTCCCTGAATCCTAATCTCCTGTTAAGATGGAGTTGCAGATATGCACAGAGGGGGTGACTGGAGGTGGAGGCCAAGTTCTTCAGCACCCACCCTGCCCAATCTCTGCTCCTTCTTCTGGGCGATTTGTGGGTACCCAAGGGGACTCGAGGAAATGGCCAGGCTTAAAGGGCCCTGCTTAATGTTCCCTTTAATTAGACCTGGTCACCCTTGACGGTTTTGACTGATCATGGGTAGGGCAGTCCCCTCCAGAGTGCCTGCACACTGACCCGTGAACACCTGCATCCTGTCTGGCTGGGTTGTATGGTTCCTTCCAAAGGTCTGGGAAGAGTTGGGTCTCCTGCAGTAGGGTAGAGCAGGGCCAGCGTGTTGTAATCCTAGACAACTATGCTGTGAGAACCTGGGTCCCAGGGGGTGCTCTGTGGGAAAGAATGTGCACAAGAGCCACTGGGTCCCCACCAAGGACCACTGAGCACAGGCTCGGCAGGCAGAGTGAGCACAGCTCTGACAAGCCATGGCAGCAGGCCTGGCACTAAAGGGGCGAGCAGTGGGCCTGGGCCTGCCTTCTGTATCCACAGCCAGGCAAGGACTACCTTGCCAGGCAAGGACTACCTACCCATCCATCCATCCACCTATCTTATACCCATCCATCCATCCATCCCCATCCATCCATCTACTCACCCACCTATCGTATATCCATCCATCCATTCACCCACACATCCATCCATCCATCCATCCATCCATCCATCCATCCACCAAGCTATCCATCCAACCCATCCATCTACTCACCCATCCAGCCAGCCAGCCTTCTACCTATCCTACACCCATCCATCCATCCATCCATCCATCCATCCATCTACCTATCCTATACCCATCCATCCATTCATCCATCCATCCACTCACCATCCACCCATCCACCTACCCATCCATCCATCTCACAAGTGTCCACTTATCATCCTTGTGGGATCTGCTAACCTCAAAGGACACAGCGATGCCAAAACTCCTTGTGTAGCTTTTTCCAGTGAGGGAAGAAAATGATGAAGACTAAAATGAGGCAATGAGTGATGACAGTGTGACAAGGGTGAGAAACAGCTCGGGGAGGGGCAGTGAAGAGGGACCTGCTCAGGTAACATGCTGAGGAAGGCCCCTGAGGAGGAGACCCCAGAAAAGACCTCGATAAGAAAACACCAACAACCTGGTAGGTGGAGAAAGGGCATTCCAAGCAGAGGGAGTTGTGAGTACCAAGGCCCTGGGTCCAGAAAGAATGGGGTTGCTATAGTTAACATGGGGTGCTGGTGTGTTGAGAACCAAGGCAAGCTGTGCCCAGAGAGGCCAGTGCTGGACTGGATTCCAGGGCTCTAAGGGGCTCTGCGTGGTGAATGAATTGCAGTAGGTGAAGTCCAAGGCCAGGACAACATGGAGACTTCACTATGGTGTGGTAGTAGGGTGGATTTGAAGGACACTGAAAGCAGGGCCAGTCTCATGAGTGTTGGACTGGGGTGGGAACAAGGTGGTGGTGGGGTGTTGGTGGTTAGCCTGTGGGCTAGGCATTTGGGTCCACAGTGGCCATTTGTTGGGGAGAACACAGAGTTAGATCCGATTGGAAATGGGTGGAGAAGCCAGGACTCCTGAGGGACATGCCAGGAGCTTGGTGTGCCAACCACCTAGGTGGGGCTGCCGGAGAGGATGGGGACATGGAGCCCAGCTGAGTGGCTGGCTGGAAGCCAAGAAGAAAGCCATGGGAGGGGCTTCCTACCCCCAGCCCTGCCCCTTCTTACCACATCCTCAGTTGGCCACATCCCTGAGCTCTGAGGTACGCACTCTTTCTGCAGGTGTGTCGGTAGCCAGCTTGAGGCTGGTTTTCTGGATCCAGATAGATCCAATCTTGCTCTGCCAAGAAGCTGCCTCCCTCAGGTCACAGGCAACGGCAGAGAGAGACCCACCTCACCCCGGCTTTCCGCACTCTGGTCAGACTCAACTTGAACCTCGGCTTAAGAACATCTACCGTAATAGCTAAAAGTGAGACAGATGCCACGGGAAGGTGAGGCAAGATGATCTTTCAAGGTGCACACTGGGCAGATGCACTGCGACCCAAGGGGATTGTGGGACTGTATTAAACCAAGGGTCTCCCAACTTTCAAAGGAAGTCAGAGTCATAGGGTGCTGAGGCCAAGAAAGTCATAGGAACCATGTTATCCTCTTTCTACAGGTGGGGAAACTGAGGCACGGAGCTGTTCACCAAGATCCCCAAGACCTGGGTCTTGGCAGAACCAAGGTGTAACGAAGAGCATCCTATCAGGCAGACCATGGCCGATGTCATCGCAGCAGCAGGCTGGCTGGCGGTCACACAGCGGCCACTGGGCATGGCACGGTCTTCACCTTCCTTCTCCCCTTCCTTGGAACCACCAGCATTGTTAGCCACCACAGGAGTCCGCAGAGTGTATCAGAACACATGAACACTGGGACACCAGCGTTAGCCCCCACAGGAGTCCTCAGAGCATATCTGAAGTTACACCTTGTGTAAGGCAGAGGTAGACCCAGGCTCCCCTGCATTCCTAGGCCGACATCTCAGCCCAGCCCCCAGGTTTTATGGGCAGGGAATTACTTCCAAAGGAATGAGGAGCCCCAGGCCTTATCTCAGACCCAGGTGGCAATTAAAACATCCTGTGCTTCCACGATGAAATGACACCCAGTCCCCCACCAAGGGGCAGCTAGGGTGAGTCCCTGGGGGTGGAGGAGTGTTCACGTCAGGGAGAGTCTGGGTCCCTTGGGCTCCCCACCCTTTCTAAGCACCGTTAGTGCCCGGACTCAGAGACAGCAGGTCGCCGCCTGAGGTCGCCCGATCTTGTGAACGCGGGAATCAGGTTGAGTGTGACAAAGTAGGTGTGGATGCACGTGTATGTGAGCGTGTGTGTGTGCACGAGAGCGAAAGCACTCAGGGAACTTCTCCCTAACAGAGGGGGAAACTGAGGTCCTGGTTAGTCACCAGTGAGGAGCCGAACAGACTCACCCCTCAGGCTCTCTTGATGTCACGAGTGTCCCCAGCCTCAGTGGATGAGACCCCCCACACTCACACATTGGAGCTTTGAGGGAGTGGGAACTGGCTGGGCACGGCCCTGGCCTCTGGGGAGGAGGGAGTCAGGATGTGGGGGCCGCAGTCTCATGAATAGACTTGGCAAGGCTGGAGGACCTGCCTCCAAGATGGTCACACCTGCTCTGAGGGCGGAGGTCCCTGCTCCCCACATGGGAATGTCTCCAGACAGCTGATTGAGGCTCCTCACAGCATGGTGACCTCCTACCCTAAACTGGTGGTGTAGACAGTCCAACAGAAGCCACACTACAGTGAGCCAGTGTCCTCCAAGCAGAGGCCACCCTGCAACGTGCCCACATCTTCCAGGGAGTGGAAAGCCCTGTTCCAGGTGGCTGCTCAGGATGGATGGCAGGAGGCGATTTTGAATCTCAACTGCACCAAGGCTGGTCCAGATCTCTCCTCAGAAGCCTGCTTTCTGTCACAAGACTCAAGTCCCTCCCTGTCCAGAGGCGTGAGGTATTAGAGGGAATCAAAGACAGCTGGCATGGGGGTGACAGAGTTGGGGTAGAGCTCTGAGTGAGACTCACAAGGCCACCGCCACACTTTGGAAACAAGAGGTGCAGCATAGAAAGTGTTCTGGGTACATGCCAGCTCAGAAACAGGAGAACCCAGGGCTGGGATGCCCAGGGCCAGGGGAATCACAGCCCTTCTTTTTAACTGTGGTGCCAAGAGCCAATGGGGGCATCAGATGGACCTGAGCACATCCCCAGTGGGAGTAGGTCTCCCACATCTGCCCTGACCCACGGTCTCCTCCTGTAAAATCGGATAGTTAAGTATGTACCACACGCAGAGAGAATAAAGCCGTGTGTGTTAAGGGGCATGACACACACCGGCAATTCAGGATCTACCTCACACGGCCCAGTCCCAGCAGCAGGAAGCAGACAGCCACTCTGCCATATCATAACCCTGTCAAGCAATTGAGAGGGTCAGATGTGTTGCCCAGTGGATCATGATTGGCTCTGTCTCAGCTCAGCCAGAGAACAAGGAAGGAACCGTTTCACCCACAGCCAGGTCAGTTTGATTCCCAGCTCCCTCCCCGGCATGCTGGGGTGAAAGGGCAGAGCCGCTCTGGTGACAAGAACACCCTGTCTAAGGACAGGCTGGATGGACTAACATCTCACACCTGCTGCTTCAAACCCAATGCGGAAATCAGACCAAGCATCAAATGGTGGTTTGGCAGAGGAAAAGGCTTCTGTTGCTGTGATAAAATACAGGACAGAAAGCAGCTGGGGGGTGGGGTTTTGCTGGGGTGAAAGGGCAGAGCCGCTCTGGTGACAAGAACACCCTGTCTAAGGACAGGCTGGATGGACTAACATCTCACACCTGCTGCTTCAAACCCAATGCGGAAATCAGACCAAGCATCAAATGGTGGTTTGGCAGAGGAAAGGGCTTCTGTTGCTGTGATAAAATACAGGACAGAAAGCAGCTGGGGGGGTGGGGTTCATTTCAGTTTACAGTTCTAGGTTTACAGCCCATCCTCGTAGGGAAGTCAAGACAGGAGCTTCAAACAGCTAGTGACGTCACATCCAAGGTCAAGAAGACAATTGAATGCTTGCTTGGGCTCACATTGATTTCTCCACTCTCAGTTCGGAAGCCCGTGCCTAGGGAATGGATGGATGAATAGATAGGTGGGTGGGTAATTGGGTGGATGGATGGATGGATAGGTGAGTGGGTAATTGGGTGACTAGATGGATAATGGGTGGGTTATTGGGTGGATGGATGGATGGATGGATGGGTAACTGGGTGGATGGATGGATGGATGGGTGGGTGGGTGGTTGAGTTTGGATTGGTGGCAGAAGATACACGTGAGACTAGCTAATGAATATGGGATGGAAGGACGGATGGACAGGGTGCTGGTGGATGAGGACAGACTGGTGTTTTGTTAGCTATTTTTCTCATTGCTAGGACAAAGTACTTGACAATAAACAACTTAAGGGGGAAGTGTATTTTGTCTCATGGTTTGAGGGGATACCGTTTATCGTGGTAGAAAAGGCATCGGGGCAAGTGGCTTCACGGAGGGACTTGCTCCCATCTCACAGATCAGGAAGCAGACAGTGGTCTGGAAGCAGTGACCCATTTCCTCCATCTAGGTCTCACCTCCTAAAAGTTCCACAACCTTCCAAAAATCATCACCAGCTGGGAAATTAGTGTTTAAACATATAAGGCTATGGGGGGGCATTCCACATTCAAAATTATGATAGGTGTGGGGATAGTGGGGGGTGGATTGATAGATCAATGGATGGAGGATAGATGGAGGATGGATGTGTGGTTGGATGAATGAAGGATGAGGTATGGTAGCTGGTAGATAATAGGATAGATGTGTGAATGTGTGGGTAGATAGATGAGTAGATATATAGATGGATCTGGCTAGATGGATTGATGGTGGAAAGTGTATGTATGGATAGCTGGTAGATAATGGGTTAGCTGGATGGATGGATGTGTGGGTGGATGCATGGGTGGGTGAGTTGACGGATGAGTCTGGATGGATAGATGGACGGATGGTGGAGGGTTCAGGCATGGTTGACTGGTTCAGAACATATCGGATGGATGGATGGATGGATGGATAGTGGATGGATGGATGGTGGATAGATGGATAGTGGATGGATGGATGGATGGTGGATGGATGGTGGATGAATGGATGGTGGGTTGATGGATGGATGGTGGATGGATGGTGGATGGATGGTGAATGGTGGATGGATGGATGGTGGATGGATGGATGGTGGATGGATGGATGGATGGTGGATGGATGGTGGATGGATGGATGGTGGGTTGATGGACGGATGGTGGATGGATGGTGGATGGTGGATGGATGGATGGTGGATGGATGGATGGTGGATGGATGGATGGATGGATGGAGGATGGATGGAGATCGATGTCAGATGCCTACATTATACATAAATGGATGACTGATGATATAGATGATAGAGAGATGGTGGATAGATGGATGGATGGATGGATGGTGGATGGTGGATGGATGGATGGTGGATGGTGGATGGATGGATGGATGGTGGATGGATGGATGGTGGATGGTGGATGGATGGATGGAGGATGGATGGATGGATGGTGGATGGATGGATGGATGGATAGATGGGTAGATGGGATGGATGGTGGATGGATGGATGATGGATGGATGGTGGATGGATGGATGGTGGATGGATGGATGGATGGTTGATGGATGGGTGGATGGTGGATGGATGGATGGTGGATGGATGGATGGTGGACGGCGGAGGGTCCAGGCATGGTTGGCTGGTACAGAACATATCAGATGGATGTATGACGGAGAAAGACGAATGTGTCCAGAAGAAGGCGAATGGGTAGTATCCCCATTACGTTTCCTGTTTCTGTGATAAAATACTTAGACAAAAGCAGATGAAGTGTTTATGTGGGCTCACAGTTTGAGCTTAAGATCCGTCGTGGCAAGGAATTCAAAGCAGGAGGAGGCTGAAGCAACTGGTCACCTTGCAACCACAGTCAAGTAACAGAGAGCAATGCATACTGGTGCTCAGCTCAATATCTCCTTTTTATGCAGTCCAGGACCCCAGCCAGGGAATGACACTGCTGTGGGAGGCTCCTGCCATCTCAGTTAACCTAAACAATATACGGGCACACCCAGAGGCCTGTCTCCCAGGTCATTCTAGTGCTCATCAAGTTAATGATTGAGATTGTCAGATGGACTGGGCCATCCCATGCTCAGAACGCAAGAATCCACTCCCTGGCCTCAGTCTGATCCAGACTCAATCAGGGAGCAAGGAACATTGGTTGAGATAAGACTTGGTGAGACACCCACCCTGAGAGGACAGGTCCTTCTGATGTCTTGAAATCTAGTGCCTGTGAGGTTATCAGGCTTCAGGGGTCACACAGGGGTCTAGGAGAAGAGTTACGGCTCCCTGGAAACCACAAAGCCAGGGCCTGCCCTTGTCCCAGCCTCCTCCTTTGTTTCTTGGCTCTGTGCCTCGTTTGGCTCAGTAGCTGATTCCTGCCCCCAACTCCAGCATGGCTGAGGCACCCTCGACCTGACCTGACATCAACCACCTCAGTGAAGGTTGAGGGGGCAGGATCCACAGGCATCAAAGAGACAGACCTCAAGACTACCATGATGGTTCCTGGCCCCACATCTTTGGGGAACCAGGATGTGAGGGGGTCCCTGTGAGGCAGCTATGTGGCCATTTCTGGATAGCCTCCAAGATCAGAATAGCCAGTGTCCTCAAAGCCATGGGGACAGACAGTAATGAGTAATAACCAATGCTGCGGCCAGGGGCACCAGGGTGCAGAGGACGGTGCTCTCATATACAGCCTTAGGAACCCGAGCATGTACACAGCTGGTACTCAATAGATGCAGCTTGGAGGGAAGGGATAATCCA